GCTAGGCGCGAAAGCCCCCCTGGGAGCCGAAACTCTGCGGGGTCGGGCCCCTGTACGGTAACGGCCACCTGAGGCAGGATTACGGCGATCTTATCTCGAACCTGCCGCAGGCAGGAGCCAACGGAGTACGGAACTCCCGCCTCCGACTCCTTCCTCCCTTTATCATCCTCCATATCCACCTCGGCATAATCTTCGGCAGCTGTACTCTCATACTCCTGAGAGACCGCCGAGGATACGCCAGAGGCTGAACAAGAAAGACTCAAAAGGTCAAGAGGCGCCAGAGGGAATGAGTCGCCCTGCCGGGTGGAACCCACATCAGGTCGCCGGGCGCCCGAGAAGAACCTGCCGCAACAGGCTTCCCGGGCAACCCAGACTGGCTGCCAGGCGCCGAGGTATCCGCGAGCTGGTCAGCGCCTAGGCGACCGCCAGTCATGGCACCAGGCGAAGACAGGGGTAACCCTGCATTGCCGGCGCCAGGCACCTGTGACCGGCCTGAGCGTGAAGCTAGGTCGCCACCAGGTGCCGAGGGCGCGCTGCCCCTACGGCCTAAGCCGGGATCAAGCTGCCCGGGGGAGGCGCGTTCTCCGAGCCAAAGCTCGGGCCGCAGCCAGCCCCCCCAGATGTGTCCAATTCACCCCCGACGACCGGCGCGCTGAGCTCCTTACGGAACCCAGCCAACGCTGTATTGATCAGGGATTTCACTGACGACATCTGTTCCTGAAACAAAGCAGTTAAAGAGGCAACAGGTACAACGGGTGCCGATACAAAAGGGTGGTTGGCGGCAACAGAGACAGGGGCAGGTGGAGATATAGAAGGAGCATTAGTTTTTTTAGACGAAGCCTCCTTGGTAACCTTAGCTCTTTTGGGAGCCGGCTCGGTATTGGAAGCGTCTCCAGCAGACACCTTTTTTTTGCTATGTGAACACTTCGACGGGGGATCCTGTGCCCAGATATCACCCCCCGCCCAAAGCAGGTTGCTGTAAAACAGCCGGTCCACCCGCATTGCCTTAATGGTTTGAGGTGTGAAAATCGCACACGCCGGACACCACTCTTCTTCATGATCAGTCTGTATGAGACATCTTAAACACACCTCGTGCGTATCCCTGACGGCAATGGCAGCGAGGCACGAAGTACAGGATTTAAACTGCAACAAGTAAAAAACCTGTGCAGCAATCAACCCTATACACACATACATATATGAAGTAACACGCATGGGCGACACAACTAATGCGACAAACGTAGCATGCAGTTGACAATAACCATCAATACGCACTGCAACATAACGAACAATTACGACTTTTAGCGTAAGATAGAACATGCTAGCAGCGGAAATAACGCCCTACATGTAACAACATATAAATAAAATGTACTATAACCACCTGTAACATTGAAAAACCACACGGGAAACCAATGAACTAGCGAAGGGACCTGTCCGCCATCTTGACACGCACCCGGCCAGCCGACCGCGACAGGTACCAAGTTACAACTAGAAATTATAAATGAAAAAGTTCAAAACAAGCCTCCAAATCGCCCATGCATGGAAAAAGGAGAACCATACATACAGTTGCTGTTTCTGAGACACTCATAATTTTGCGTAGGGAAATGAAACTTTCTTGAAATGGACCCACGTCTTGCCGGTAAACGACAGCATGGAAAGTGAGGTACGAGGTTACGGTCTAGAGTTACTTGTTCTTGGCTGTAGGGGGCCGGAAGGCCCTGTAAGGGTGGTCTCACAAGACAAAAACGTAGTTTTTGTTTTGTGAATATTTTTATTCAAATATTTTTACAACTGTCGTAGGTATTTTAAGTGGACATTTAAATGCTTATAAGTACCCCAAGGAGGAATAGATAAAAAAGAATTCATAATCATTTTACGGAAAGAAATTACAAAATGATTGATAAACTAAGTAAATATATGAAAGGTATCTATGAAAATCTTTCAAGACTTTAATGATGTTGCCTTGTTGTATTATTGTTTCATTATTGTTGTATTATTGTATCATTGTATCCCCCGTTGCACTTGCGACAAGCATTTTGGGCATAGATTTTCAAGCTGTCTTAGCGCTAAGATAGTTGGAAGTCAATGTTAATGAATGGCGCTTGCGACTATCTTAGCGCTAAGAGAGCTTCGAAAATCTAGGCCCAGATTATTATCTCACCGCTGGTGTCAACTAGCGTTACACCGATTTTAATCCAGACTAAGATGATGACATCATGACCAGTCATCTTTGTTTCGACCATGTTTTCGAATGGATTGCACACAGACTTTTGGACACCTTCCCTTCACCGGGATCAGATGTTGAGAAATAATTAACCATCTAAACACTTCATGGTTAATGCTACCAACGTATGAGGCGGTTAGAGAAATCCTTTCTACTCATGACGAAGATGTTGCATTGGTGTCGCTGAATCCGTCCATCAGAGCGTCTAAGGCCTCTCGTGACGATTATCATGTCCAAGGTCTAGACTTCACAGATGTGACAACTAAGGTTGGTGAGGAAATCAAACATCCACTGCGTGCTACAAGGTACAAGACTCAATGATGGCGGCCCTTGATTAAGAACGTAAACGAATGCTACATCCTATTTCGGCCGTAGCTTCAGCAACCGACACTATTTCGCAAGATCTGACACAGGTAAACCCCGATAGGCCTGATCACCTTGACTATGGCTTGGCAAGGGAAGGTCCTTACTGACCTACGCGAACACTTACGGAGTGTGCTCACCAACGTGTGTTATTCAACGACAGGGTTTCCTCTCCATCTCAAGTTGGGAATCAGAATTTCCAAGAAAGTTTTTTCACCAACCTTGGTCCTCGACTACCATTTCCATCAATGATGATCTATCGGGATGGGTGCGACGTCGCTAAGGGTGAGTGAGTGAGTTAATATCTAACGTGACATTGGCAATATCTCAGCCATATCGTGACGAAAACAATTTATACAATTTAAAGAGAAAACGGTTTGAAGATTAAAACTTGTCGACGGTGGACAGTAGAAATACTACAGAATCACAGATATGAATAAAACTAGCGAACAAAGCTAAAACATTTTAATTAAAGAGGACAATACAGTATAAAACACGGGCTATAGATCGCCAACAACTGACGGTAGATCACCATACTAGGAACCATGGGGACTTACATTACTTTTGCTACCTGCATGGACCCTAGCTGGATTTACACCATCCCTTCAGCCGCTGGCGATTGTAGGAAAATGTAGCAAGCAGTTAAAAAAACAAAGATACTACGTTTAAAATATGGTAAATTTACATTTTACTTTGAAAGTTTTGGGCCTTACGTGCCCTCTCAGGAGGACACGTCGCTAAGAGGGAGACAGCCCTGCAGGCTTTCCAGAAAGTACAACGTCCATCATCACATCAGTGAAACACTTACCAGCCTCCACGCCAGTCTATTCGGCTAGCATGAAACCAAGCCCGGACTCGTGGCAAGGGACGTGGTGGCAAGTCTCGCACCGACAAAAAAAAGGGTATCAGCGCCGCCACGCCTCCTTCCAGGGTTACGAACGTGAAGTGAAATGCATGCACGACTGGACATTCCCACCTTCATTCGTCCCAATATACCCAACACCTGTAGGTGAGGGAATAGGGATCTTCTGGGCGAACTGTTCCATCCTAGAGGGTCCATACGTAATCGTATGTATACAAATACGGCTCCCCCTCCTCAATCTGACTGTGTTGTCGAAATCACACAGTCACTTCATGAATAAAAAAGAGCTCCTAGCCGAAAACATAGGAATTCTACTGGAGAAGAGAGCCGTAGAACTGGGGCCATATTTATACAAATTCTTAGAATTGATAAGAATTCTTAAATCAATAAAATTCTTAGAATTCCATTATATTTACACTTAAGTGTTAAGAATTTCTTAAGTCACATTTATAAATCTTTGTACTCTTAGAATTAATCCTGAGTATGGCACATATTTAGGAGTGCCCCTTTTGTACTCCTAACTAGTTAAGAATATTCTTAGCTTGACAAACATGGCCGCTCGTATGCGTCGCTTGAGTGATTTTAGGTTAAGAAGAGATGTACTAGCAGTGTACAACAATGAAGAATTGATATAGAGGTACCGTATGGACTTGGGGGGGGGGATTATTTTCATCACGAATTTGGTCCGGCAACACTTGACAAGTCCGACAAAACGGAATCATTCCTTGGACGCTGAGACTAAGATTGCCATCATTCTGCGTTACTTAGCCACTGGCAAAATGCAGCTTTGCAGCGGCGACGATTTCGTTGTAAGTCAGCCCACTGTCAGTAGAATAATATCCGAAACTTTGTCAGTACTTTCTGACCCTCAAACTGTCAGGCAATTCATTTCAATGCCGACTTCACAGCAGGAAACACAACGCCACAATCACCAATTCCACACACTTGCGGGCTGCCCCGGTGTCGTAGGTGTCATTGATGGGACACATGTGAGGATAATAGCTCCTTCTCAAGATGAGCCCGAGTATGTGAATCGGAAGAACTATCATTCCCTGAACGTACAAATAATGGAAAGAGTTCCGCCCGTACCACCCCCCACCCCCAACCCCTCCAAAACAAAATTCATTCTTCCCGGGGATCATTTCCCCTGGAGGTTATATTAAAAAGGGCGCTTACATAATATTTGGGGGTAGAAGCGTTTAATGGGGGTTTAGATATTTGGGGGTACATTAAAAAAGTGGGGAGGAGGAGGAAAAACTACTTCCTGCTTGTCCTTATTCTTCCCTTTTGTCTTCCATCCTCGACGACACTGTACATCCGGTTTTATCTATCATTTACTGTAACTCACATCATTTGAATTATCTCCCTTTAAGAAATATATTGCAAATGTTTGTGTCGTACCTGGGATTTGATCCACTGTCCTCCATCTGTCTTTGCTTCCGGTCATCTGAGCCTCCGTAGTGTGATCACGGCTGTTTTGTGATTGACAACAAGAGATGATAGTTTCTTCATGTTATGTGTAGCGATATTGTTAGTGTGACGTCAGATAGAACTTTCTTCACAACTTATGTTGTGCGCTTTGTCTATTTTTAAGCTTTCTGTTGAACTCAGTGTATTTGCCTGTGTTGGCGGGGCCGTGGACAAATGGAAAGACAATAAGGACGGACGTGATGGTGATGACTTGGAGAGATCGAACCTCGCCCCGTGTGATAATCTTTTAATAATCTGTTCGCTTTAGCATCTGTCATGATACATGGACGTAATGCTGGGTAACAATGGAATTGTATTGTCCTACTCTGTTTGTGATAATGAAATTTCTATGACAGATCACCTAGTGTGCTTTTCACGTGCATGGAAGGAATTTGGCATGAAGTGCTTGTATCTACTGACGTCACATGATGTAAAGCTATTTTGTGAGTGTAACATACAAGGGCTTGCCATTCGAATACCAGAAGACCATTGACTACATTGTCTGTGCCATTGATCATAATTTAGCGAGCATGTCTTCGTCCGATTATGAATTCACCCCCAACTTTGTTGCCGAGAAACCTGATTCATCGTCTCCGGATCCTCTACGGGATCTCTTTTCTTCCCACTCTGAGGGTGACATCGACCCAGGTCAGAGACCGATTGACGACTTGAACCAGGACTCACCGGTATTTTCGAGCGTTAGAGACCGATCGACTGAGAGACGAACGAGTGACAGCCAGCCATCTCCTTCTTCATGTTCAAGCACAGGTTTATCTTTTTTACTGACCCAAAATATTAACCCCAGCAGTAACAGTACTAACACTGATCCCGTCCTTCCTGATGCACTCCCTAGTACGTCGTCTCCCCCCATTCCAGCACGCCCTAAACGCACTATTAAACGTCCCGCTCGCTTTGTAACCTCTTCACCCGATAACCCTGTTAACCCATCTGAAACAAATCGTCCACGTAAGTGTAAAAAAAAACCCCTGCACCTCACTCCTGCCGACCCTTTCCTTTCTCTCTCACCACCACGCTCTCCCACACCTCCACCTGTTGATCCCGTGTCTCACCCCACACACCCTCGTAACACGGCCCCAGCACCCCTCCCAGCACCTCAGGTTGTCACACGTTCGAATGCTAAACAACCCCCTCCCATGAATCTTTTTTTCCTAATTTCACATTTAGGAAGCACCGATAGCACTATTTCTTTTTGTCAGCGGTATGGGGTGTTACCAACCCAAGCACACTGTCCTAACTGTCATCAGGTTCTAAGTCGCACGTATGCAATTAATCGCAAGGGTAAGGTGCCTGACTATCGTTTCCAGGGTAACCGTAAAGTTTGTAAAAAAAGTAACAAAAATCAGGTTCCAGCACGGAGGGGTACGTGGTTTTCGGGGTCGAATTTGTCACTGAGAAAAACTGTTTTGCTCACCTACTGCTTTGCCCATAAAATGTCATATGCAGACACAATCAGAGAAACGAGTATCGATTGTGATGGTGATGGGAAAGTCCTAGAAACCTCCAGAGAAACAGGGGCGGTGGGGTAGCCTAGTGGTTAAAGCGTTGGCTCGTCACGCCGAAGACCCGGGTTCGATTCCCCACATGGGCACAATGTGTTAAGCCCATTTCTGGTGTCCCCCGCTGTGATATTGCTGGAATATTGCTAAAAGCGGCGTAAAACTAAACTCAGTCAGTCAGTCCAGAGAAACAGTATCGGACTTTTTCATGTATTGCAGAGAGGTATGCTCTGTGATGGTGGAAAAGAATGGTTCCGACAGAATAGGTGGGGCTGGCTTGACAGTGGAAATAGATGAGAGTAAGTTTGGGAAACGTAAATATCACAGGGGTAGAATGGTAGAGGGTCAGTGGGTTTTGGGAGGTATTTGTAGGGAGACTCGACAGTTCTTTCTAGTTCCCGTGGAGACGCGTGACCGACGGACATTACTGGACGTTATTTGTCGTAAAGTGGTTGGGGGTAGTCATATCATCACGGACTGTTGGAAGGTTTACGACGGACTATCTGACCTGGGTTACACCCATACTACAGTGAATCAATCAGAAAATTTCAAAGGTAAATGTATACACCATACATTATCATTATGTAATGATATGCAACTGAAATCCGCCATTTCATGTCATGTTTGTTTTATTATTTTCAGATCCCACCACCGGTGCTTGTACCAATCTGATAGAGAACCGGTGGTGCATCAAACGGCAGTTGCCGTCGACCCACACCCGCCGGTCAGACTTTCTCCTACATCTGTCGGAGTACATATATTGTTGTAGTGCGGAGAAGGATATCTTCGTTTCTTTGCTGGAGGATATCGGCTCATTGTATGGAGGTGCACAGTAGAGATACGTTGTGTTCTTCCTGTGTAATATTCAGTCGTAAGGAATATAGCTTGCATATGGCGATGATACTCAGACAGCTAAGTAAAGTGACTCGCATTTGATTCACGAGGCTGAATACATCACCGGCATTTAACGAACCTCTTGCATTATTTTTCAGACCCTGTACACTTTATTGCCCTTGTATTCATTGTGTTTTATGAGTGACAATTCATGATCTCGGTTTTTGAGAGGGGGGTACGGGCGGAACTCTTTCCCAAATAATTTTCGATTCCGATTCTCTTATCCGAGATGTTGTAGCGAAGTGGGCTGGACTCTGGAGCAACACATGACGCCCGGATCTTTCATGAAAGCGGCGTTCGTCAGCTGTTTGAAAGGGGTTTTATGCCAGCTGGGTCCCATTTACTTGTAGATAGTGGCTATCCATGCAGAAGATATATTTTAACACCCTTCCTGCACCCGCAAGCTGGACCAGAGACAAATTATAACAGGTATTCTGTTTGTTTATATCCACAGAGATGTAAACTTGTCCGACACAGTATGAATTAGAGTAGATTCCCTTGGGAAGGTGGTAAATTCTATAATTTGAAATTGTGTTTTTTAAACGAAATGACATTGTAGCTTTGTAATTCTGCATAAAACGGATTAACGATTAAGGATTTAACGATGCTTGTTTTATTAGATGAGTAAACGTAGTAAATATAAAAGACGATATACTACTGTCAGATGTTCATCTACATTTATGAATGCAATATAACAATAATGCAAATCTCCAAAAGTACATATGGGTTCAAATATCATACTGCATGTAAATTATAAGAAAAATGTCTTTTGCAATCAAATATGGTTTTCATATCTTGTGATGAACATATACTTAAATTTTGAACAATATAGAGTTCCTGTATGAAATTACAAATTAGAAATTGAGCCAGTATTTCAGTCAAATAAATTTTAAATTCATGTGAATCATTAGCATAGAATTATATATGAACTCAGTGAATTTGATTAATTATTTCAATACATTGATATATGTTAAGGCTTGAAAACATTTAATTTAAATGTCTTTAAAAATTCCTTTTAGATCTCACAAGAATACAAGGAGTGTTGTTGAGAGAGGCATTTGACAATTAAAGAGAAGATTTCATGTCCTGCATGGAGAGATTAGGCTGACACCTCAAAAAGCATCAAAGGTTTGTTTGTGATATATTGTAATGTTTGTGTTTTCGTAATACTTTGTTATTAGAGAAATGTAATAATTAAAATAACATAATTGGTTTCCTTGATTTGTGTAATTTCTATCTTTCTACATGCTGCAATTGAATATTTTACAGGTTGTGATTGTGTGTGCCGTGCTCCATTATATCTGTAAACAAAGAAATATCCCACTACCTCCTGGACAAGATGGACACCAAGATGGACAGAGACCGCCTCCCCAGGTTGTTCAGCCGCCAGCAGACGGTGTCAGGTATCGCCAACAATTTGTCAATCTTCACTTCTAGACATGGTACTCCATATTATAATAATATTCACTAAATTTTGATTGTTTATTAATTCATTTTTATAAATAAGACACTGGGAAGACTAGGAATTGATCCTTCCCGAAGTTTCCTAAGGACCACAACTTTGAGTAATATTTATGTTTGTATTAAGAATTCATGACCAAATTACATCATAATAATCATTAGATAAGTATCTTTTACTGTGATAATATCTGTATTATGGTGGAAACAACATTGAACATCTTTATATATCACACAGTTCCTTAGTCTCTTTTCAATTTCTTTATCTTCAGTTGGTAATACTCAAGTTGAGCCTCTAACACTTTTAATTCCAGCTCCCTCTTCCTGTCAGTCACGGGAACTGGAACTTGTACTGAGGCCGGAACAGGGACTGTACCCGCAGCTGGATCAGGGACCATGGCTGGGACCGACACTGGGACATCCACATCGAGACAATCGCTCTCATATGGACTGAAACATGACATTACTAACACTGTAGTGATCAGCAAACTGGTATCTTCTTGTGCAAGTACAAGAACCTTGAATGTCATCAGAATCTTAAGGGGACAGTTTAGAGAATCATTATAAGTGAAATGCCAATGATTTGTGATATCCAGAGGTGGTGCCCTTTTTCATTATATGGTGTTGACAGTGTGGGCTTGTTGGATAATTTGGAGTTCATTTCAAAGTTGCACCACTTCAAGCAAGCTCATGTATTATATTCTATGATGAAAATAAGTCTATATATTTACACAAAATTGATATATTACTTTCCTATTAGTTGACCGGGGAAACTACTGTGCTAATGTGTTTCTTTAAGGTTGTATAATTTCAACATTTCAACTAAGCCTTTCATAAAATAATTTCATTACATTCAGTTAGGTACATGCATTTGTTTGGTAAGGTGCTGTAAAGAGTAATGTACGTATGTAATATTGTTCATTTCGTCATGATATGGTGCACATATTAAATACATGAACCAAAGATCAAGCTTGATATCACCTTTGATACATTCCATAAGGTAATAAGACTTGTTTTTAAATAATTGAACAAGTTGGAACATTCGTCTTAATGATATAAATACCTCAGATTAATACACTGCAACATGGATGTGTCAATCCCATTGTCTAATCCACTTATAGATGCGTTAGCATCACAAAGAATTGATTCAGCTGTGCTTGCAACCGCTGAGAGGGGAGAAGTACTTGGACCTCCACCTGAAATTATGTACACAACTCGGATCACTAGTTCACCAAAAATTCTGCTCAAAGTTATGTACATTGTAAATCAGACATGAGGTGATTGGAAACTGAAATGTAAGTGAAAGTAATTAATTACAAAATCTGTGAGCATAAATGAAGTAATGGACTGTTTATAAATGTTACTGGCAAGTATACAAATATCATTAAAAATTATTGAAGTATATAAAAATCTTTATGATGTTTACTTTTATGAGAGCACGGTCACTCTTTTTTTAGTGTGGTGAACAAATTATGAGATTGAGCATAATTGTATTTTATTACTTAGATCTAATTGAGAAACATACTTGTTTCGAATAAAATGGAAAAAGTATGACCATGGGAAAAAAGTACTGTTTTTTCTTGGTATTGATGTGTTTCAAAAATAAATTACACTGTGTTACATTTAAAGATCAATACCAAATACTATTTATAAAGCTATTCCATTAGTAATGTATAGAAACTATTTTAAATATGATTGTTACTTATGCTCTTTTAACATTAAGTTTTAACTTAATAAAAAAATATTGTTTTCATGTGAGATTTTCGTTGTGTTATTTATGTAAGTAATTGCTTTTTAGATGTTAGAACAAGAACATTACAGTATTGATCAACAGACTATTTCATGTTTATTTCCTAATTAACTTACTAGAAAAAATGGATTACTAAAAAATGATAGGCCTAAGTAGATCTACTGTATTCTCATAATGTAAATTAGGGCTTCAACGAGTCCATTTTCTTGGACTCGAGTACTCGAGGGGTGAGACTCGACTCGGACCCGAGTACTCGAAATTCATAGCTTTCAAACAAACGATAGCGTAACCGGCATGACATGTGTTTCTATCACACAAGGGAACACTTACTTCATTCCGACTTCATATCGTCGTGTGACTAACATTTCCTATTGGTCAGAATCAGTATTTGGATGTTTACTTGTCATATGTTTTTTTTTCATCGTACTGATTGTACTGCCTGCATAACGCAGTGATATACCGCACAGGCGGCATTTGGTTATTTTTCTCTCTCATTATCCAGATCAAGACACGCCCATACATTTGATTTTTTATCGTTCTCCATGTTTGTTAAGATAGTTGCCTAATCATTTTAAGAAGTGAAATCTCAAACGATGTATTATAATTACTCTCATCTGCAGACTTGTAACAACTAATACCATACAGCCACACCTTATGAGGAGTAAACTACTTAATATAGGCCTTAATAAAAAACATTATAAGATGGGTTAAAGAATTCAGGGTACATAGAACTCAGTATGTCAGTGTCAATGGCTATCAATCTTCTTTACTCTCAACCTCTACTGGAGCTCCACAGGACTGTGTTGTTGCATCCGTACTCTTCGTTTTGTATACCAATGACTGTTACTTGTCATTAAATGACTTGTTTACTGTGAAATTCGCAGATGACGCCACTGTTACTGGCCTAATTTCTGATTCTGAACCTTATTATCGTCAAGGCATTGACAAAACCGTAATGACAGTTGTTATCAAACCTTTATTCAAAGTGTGTTGACCTACAATTTTCTATGTTGGTATGGGGCCTGTCTGATCGCAACAAAACAAACTTTCCAAAATTGTTAATACCGCCGACTAAATTTCGAGAATATTCCCTTTATCTATGAGCGCCAGATTGTCAAAAGGCAACTAAGATTAGATTTGATAGTTAACCTATTTTATCTCACCCCTTTGAAAGAGTGTGAACATTTCTTCTTTCTGGACGCTGCTGTCGATTACCTTCCCTCAACAGAGCTCGTAAGTCTTTCATACCCTCAAGTATTCGTGAATGCAACACATATTTTGAATTATCACCATGTGATAACAACTAGAATTTTATTCAGCCTCTTTACCTATGTGGTTAATTGAATTATATCATGTCAGTTTTATTGTGTAAATAGGTTTCGTTTTGTGCATATAATTATTGTGTATATTTTTGTGAATTGTGTACATATTCATTTTGAGACAGTTTGGATGTATAAGAATTTCCACCGGGATAATAAAGTTATATCTTATCTTAATATTAGACGTTAACGGCCGCTCATGCTCAGCACATGGCAGACAGTCTGTCAACGTAACCAAATAATTCGAGTTATCTCCCCTTTTCGAGTCCTCGAGTCCTAGAATATGGACTCGAGTCCAGCTAAACCCGACTCGTCCTCGAGTACTCGAGTACCCGTGGAAGCCCTAATGTAAATAAATGAATGCGTTATGCCATATTTTAAATCCCACCTGTTGCTGTTGTTCCTCGTCTGTATGCTGCAATTTCCTGCCTTGATTTTGAAAGTAGATTATGCCACTTTTTCTCCACTTCTTCATTTGATCGAATCACATGAGGATGGGATGCATTGATTGATTCGGTGATTGACATCCACGTCATTTTCTTTTCCTCTGATGTTATTCGAATTTGCCTCTTATTATTTCTTTCTTTGATTCCACTAACTTAACAAGTGACAGACATTCGTCGCTTGTCCAGTTAGGTTTCCTGTTCCCCTTTTTCGCATTCATTTTGTGGGGTGCAGGCTAAAACGGAACCACAGCAAAACGGCACCAGGCCAAAACGGCACCATTTGGATATAACGGAACCTCGACTTGGCGAAAACGGCTACAAATCTTATGGTGAAAACGGCACCAAATAAAATTCTAATTATTGGGAACATCTTATTTGTCATTATTTGTCATTAGATAATCTGAATACAGAATTTTGGAAAACATCTACTGTGCCGAGAGTGATTGGAAAAGCCTGTAAATTTAGAGTGAAAACATCACAACCTTTGATGTTTTAAGTACATTTACTCAACTCAAATCGCCCAAACTCAGTGTCAAAATGAAACTGTATTTAAAAGGCAAGAATGTACACATTACATATCATTCATCACAATGCCTCACCACTGTGTTGTATGCGATAAGACTGTCAGGAAGAATCAACATGCCGTATCTTGTGACGAGTGTGATTTATGGACTCATCGTGTTTGTGGTACCGGCCTGTCTGTATCACGGTACCGTGAGATTTGTCGAAATGAAGAGGATTTTCCTTTCGTATGTGTTCATTTGACAACATGATGGACACAGTGAACTTTCATTCATGTAAGTTTGGAAGCGGACACCACCTTACCCCCTACCCTAGAAGAAGACATGGATGCTGAGGATGAAGGAAGGGCTCCCGACCTATCGGACATCAATATTTCAACAGCGTCATTGCCACCACAAGACGACCATGATATCAACCATTCCGTGGTAGACCGCGCCCTCCTCGACCCCTCTACTGCTGATATCCCGGACAACGAGTACACAATCGTGGAGATTGGTTCTCAGAAAGGAAAGAAGAAGCTGGTCGATTCATATGGATTCACATATGTCATTCGGGTAATGACGGTTTGTTAGTGCAATTCATGAAGACATTCGGCCAAATAAGCATCCGGCCAAATATGGACGTGTGAACATGTGTAATGTTGACGGTTTGTTATCGTCTTTATTATAATCTTGTTATTTTAATGTAATGGTTGATTGAGTGAGTTATGATTTTACGCCGCTTTTAGCAATATTCCAGCTATATCGCGTGTTATAATCTTGCTGAAATAAAAACCATAAGTCAACGTCATACTGTGTTTTTTATATGTTGATTCTAATGTTATAATTAAACGAACTAAAACATAAAAGTCAACATCATACTGTGTTTTGTATATGGTGCCGTTGTAGCTCCGAAATCAGTGGCCGTTTTCGCCAATACGGTGCCGTTTTCGCCGCACGATTTTGGTGCCGTTCTCTATCTTGCTCTCCTGGAAGAAGTCAAACTAGATCTATCAGCCTTTGGTCACTTACTGTTTTCTGGCGAAAATAATAATGGTTGGATATATGTTCAGTCATATGATCTTGAACCTAGCCAGGCCAGAGATCAATTCAAACAGTACTTGATCGACTTAAAAGACAGTTTCTTTATGTCATCAAAACAAAATGACGTGTGTTAAACTGCAGTGAAAACGATAAACTCATATAACTTATGGGAAAGTCAAAGGGTATCCAAACCTTATTTGACTATTCACGTCTTGAAGAGTTTACTGAACACCTGATAGAACAGGCAGAAAACTGCGGTATGTACAAGGAAGAATAGAAATTCTATATTGGGGTCATCCAAGATGAATTAAAGTATCTTAAGTTCTCAAACGTTTCCTCGGTTTGTTTTCCCTTCAAATGTAGTTTTGCAATTTCCTTCTGGGTTTGTCTTTGCGCATGTTTTGCAAAAGCTCTTCCACTGAGTCTTGGGAATAAATCCACAGTGTTCTCTAAGATGTTTTCACTTTCTCCTCGGAGTCAGTAAACTGTTCCCAGTGGAAACAAACTGTGATGTCTTGTATTATTGTCATTGCAAGTGGATCAGTGTTGTAATTAACTGACTGTCTGTATCTTGTATAGAACCGGTCTCAATCACTCACTCACTCACTTCAAAGAAAGTTGCTATTATTATCCCCCACCGCGCGTTTAGCGCAAAGCGGGGGATATAGTATTAGGCTCCGTCCGACCGTCCGTACGTACCTTGACCTTCATTTCAAGGTATCTCAAGAACCGCTCTCTAGATTTTCTTCATATTCAACACCAAGCTTTATCGAGGGAAGGCGCAGGGCCCAGTGGATTTTGGTGACCTTCACTTAATTGTCAAGGTCATGGCTACACTGAATATTTCAGCATAATAACCTGCATGTTAAGCTATCTCAAGAACCGTTAACTGGGTTTTCTTCATATTTAACACCAAGCTTAATCTAGGAACGGCGCAGTGCCCAGTAGATTTTGGTGACCTTCACTTAATTTTCGAGGTCACAGAGACACTTTGAAGATTTGAGCATGTTAACCTGCAGGTTGAGATAGTCAGCAAGATATCGCAAAAAAATATTCACTGGAATTTTTTTCATATTTGACACCAAGCTTTATCCAATGAAGGCCCAAGGCCCAGTCAATTTTGGTGACCATCACATAATTTTCAAGGTCACTGCGACACTTTGAAGATTTCAGCATGTTAACCTGAATTCACTGGATTATCTTCATAGACTTTCAAGACTTCCCTTGAATGTTTTTCAATAAGCAATTTCTTTAGTACCATATTTGCTTATTTCATACACTATGACATTCATGTCAAGGTCAAAGTCAGTCTCGAAAATATTTGTGTGTTTGAACAACTAAAGAGAAGATATCTAGAGAGGTTGACTGGTCATGTTTTTGTTGACATTTAACTTCATCTTAAACTTCATTTCTTTTTAAGTTTGATTTGATAATTTGCGGCGGGGGATTATGTCACCGTAGTGACAATGCTTGTTATGGTTGTAACATAACTATAATTAATCCAATATTACAGAGGTATTTCAATAATACGTTTGAATATGCACAAATATTTTATGTGGCGAATAGTAAAACATATATTAAGTGAGATAATGTGAGTCACTTGCTGTAAACACAGCTGACCGTCAGTAACCGGTAACCCTGAAGTGTGCAACCCAGTCAAGCCGCCACGGCTGGCGTTATTCCCCCAGTCTGGAACATGCTGGACGTGGTCACGGGTACGGTCCATGTGATCCGTGAGGATTCAGCAGCCCATGCTTGTAAGCAGCGACTAACTGGATCGGGTGGTCAGGCTCTCCAGGCACATTATCGTATCCCAGTTTCGTAGATTGATGCTCGTGCTGTGATTACTGGATATGTCTGATTCAGACTCGATTATTTACAACGAACAATACATAATGTCAGATAGGTAACATATGTGTCTCTCTACCACGAATAAAAGATTCAAAGCACTCAGCATCCTTCTTGTTTAAGGTGATGTCTGCGTAATCACCTCTGCCAGGTTAATTCCACCATTATTCTTGGTCACTATGACGTAGCAATGAATAAATGGGGCAATGAATAAACGACTCGACGGTCCCCAACACACAAGTTCCGCCACAGTTATGCTGGACAAAGTCCGTCTGCCACGCTTGAAGAGTTTGGATACCTGTGTTTGTGTGCACACCGTATGTGACGGGAGCGTGACAGCAGGAGCGCGTTTTATGTTACTCAGTTATTTCCCTTTATCTGGCTTGTAATCATACTTCCACCATCGCTTATCTCCCCTGAATAAACATGTCATTTATCCTGAGGTAAAACCTGGGCAAGAGTTATGTACCTCCTTATTAAATTTAGTTTGGGTATGCTGAATACATATGCTGAATATTAATCTAGTGTGAATTTACTATATAAATATTCATTTTATGAACATCTTTTTTTCATTGATGAATCAATATTTCTCTTAAATTCCTGTTTTTTTGTCGCAGTTAATTAATGTGTCAAATCCTACATACTGCCTTGAAAATTATTTTTCTGCTTTATTTCATATCAATACTGAAATATTTATAAAAAACACATACTGAATAATAAAAGTCAACAATTTACTTTTAAGAGAAGTTTTATTGACATATTACTTTTTACAGACGGTGCCACAAGGGAGCGCCACTTGTCAAACAAATGCCGTGGTGACTTGCTATATTTATTACATAATTAAATTCGGGACTCATTTTTCTACCAAATGATACCAAATTTGGTAATTTTTGACATTTTGAAATTTTGTATCCAACCTCCTTAACCCAAGCCTGGTTCCCTGTCTAAAATGCTGCACTGGCGCTTCACTCCTGGTTCTACACTGAAGTGCCTGCGCATCATACCAGGGAACCAAGACTGCGCTGAACCTAAGCCAGGCCAACAGACAACAATGTCCCGATCTCCGTTTTCATTTCAGCTGTCTTTAGACCGTTAGATGTGTAGAAGTAATAATACTCTGTTGTGTTCTTCGTACACTTTATATATACCTGTCCATCCCAAATACCTATTGACGGAATTCTGATGGAAGGGAATGGGCATTGACCAACTAATCTTTTTGTTCGATTCCTGATATTGTAAATATATAGTGTGTCTTCCCCTTTCTGCAAAGCCACAGTGTCTTCAGACACGACTGCCGTGTATACAACCACACTGGGGAATGTCAGCACCTTTGTTCGTATTACACGATCAAGTTTTCTATAGTTTACTGTATATAGGTTATACCATTTGTCCATTCCTGTCATGCGGATGGTGCAGAAGGCTATTGTCTGGGACTCTGCGTTTCCCGAAAAGCATCTACAGTCCAAATATTGTTCAACAGTGAGTATTGTCGCTTCGTATTTGTCATCGTCAAATACTTTCAGAGTTGTTGAGTTCCTGGAATATTCCCAGAAGAAATGCAACCCTCGTAGGTGATCATAGAAACCACATCGGGCGTTACCGTTGAAGACGACCTTCTTGTGCTTGCCGTCAAAACACATGGAGTTATATTGATGTTTCATCTCCGGCATCCACAGAAACCGGCACCAATTTATAACCGGAAACAGATAGATCGGTTGTCCGTTGAAATTCAGGTCTAGCTTGATCTTCTTAGAAAGGTTGGATGGTTCGTGCAGGTATACACTGTTGTCGGGTCCCTGTTTAGAAATGGTGAACAAGTATTTGGTCTGCGTGTTTACGGCTCCATAGCCCGGTAGTTTACAAGAACAATGGCGTTTCTGGTCATTGGGAACAGATGCAGTGTTCACGTTTGGTTTGGTACTCGAGTCCTCATGACTCGACTGAAATAGATGGTGGAGCTGATTTGTCAGGCGTGAATTCAGTTTCAAATGTTTCCCTGCTTGTTTTCTATGTAGGTAGCAAGATGGACCACCTTGAGTTTGACGACAGTCAAGATTCACACCGCACTGAGTTAGAGTCTTCAAGACATTTCTTTCTACCTTTGGTTCCACTGGATCCGTAGTTACTATTCCATAGGCAAACCAACACAGCGCTGCGTTCAAGATACCTTTCATTGGCATGTTAAGGTCATGAATACTCGCAACACTTCCGCAGCAGCTGAATCAGTTGTCACACAGATAGATTCGTACTGCGATAAAAAAACACACATTAAATACAGTCAGTAAATGTTAATCAGTTCGTAAAACAAGTTAAAATGTGAAAAAATAACTCAGCACACGTTTCATATAGGCACCACGTCCATGTTTGTTATTTTTACGGCATGTGGCCCTGTATCTATATTAGGGCTGCAACGACTCGTTTCGATTCATCGAAAATCGAATCTGGCACCTTAGTCGCGATTTTCGATAACCATTATCATCATTTTGATTCGATATTTGAATACGTGTTTCAAAAATTTACACACAGCCAGAAGTCCAACTCGAGCAGTTTCGAGCTCGGAAATAAGGCGAAACGTGTTTGGTTGACACGGGGCTAATTATCCATTGAGAATTGTTGTTAGTAGATATCGCTAAGTTGGCGATGGATTTCACCCTAAAATAGACAACACTGAGAGTTAAATAAAATTTGATATTTTTACTTGTCTGAAGAACCAAATCGAAAATGATGGATTCGAGGGTCCAATATCGAAAAACGAATCGAATTGAGGTCTGAGCGAATCGTTGCAGCCCTAATCTATATGCCGGGTATTTTTACATAGGGCACTATGTGTATATACGTATAAATGGGGCTATAACGTGCATATTCCGTGCTACATATATGGGGCATTATGTCTCTGTGCCGTGATACATGTATGTCGCGCTATGTGTATCTGCCGTACTACGCATATGGGGCGTTGTCTCTATGCCGTGTCACGTCTAACCGGGGTGTTATTACTATATGCAGCACCGTGTCAATACAGAGTAGAAGACTTGGATGGGGCATGTTACTAGATACAACGCTATGTCGTCACTTGGCGGCCACTATGTAAACTTTGGAGCACATATGGTGCACACATAGGATATCCTATTGATTAAAAAAATTTGCCGTTTTAAACTACTGATCAAAGTGTTATGAGAGTAGGTTTTTTGTAATTTGTAATATCACATTGATTAAGTGATAGTTATTATGGGTCACAATGTTTAAAGTTTTGAGTGTGGGTTTTGGCTCGCATCTCACATCATATTTGACTTCCGGCTTTCATCATGTCATGTGTTCGAGAAAATCCCGTAACGTTCTGAGAGAATAATGATGGAGCCTAGCTTTGCTAAAATGCTCGGGAACTGTGTAAGAGCTATATAAAAGCTGGTTGTTGAGATGTGCGACTTGGGACTTATTACAAGACTGGATTTATATACAGTGGACTCTGTCAATACCGGCCTCTGTAAACACCGGCACTCTGTCTACATCTGCACAAAGTTTCAGTCCCGGCAGAAATGCACGTTATTATCATTTAGAAACTTCTGTAAACATCGGCATCTGTCTATTCAGGATATCGGCATTGTTTTTCAGTCCCAACGAACAAGTTGTTATGAAAACGAATCTGTAAAAACCGGCACATGAAAGACGGCGTAACCCTTTGATGCAATTGGGTCCAAATGATGTAACAACACAATTCGCTGTAACTCCCGAGATTATACAGAAACGGGAAGTGTTAATCAGTACATCTGTCTGCCATCATTAAGCTGATCAACGTTTCGAGATAGACCGTACATGTCTATCCAACTGCTGTCATTGTAAACAACCTTCATTCAGTATATCTGCTCTCACTATACTGACTGACTGACTGACTGACTGAGTTTGGTTTAACGCCGCTTTTAGCAATATTCCAGCAACATCACGGCGGGGGACACCAGAAATGGGCTTCACACATTGTACCCAAGTGGGGATTCGAACCCGGGTCTTCGGTGTGACGAGCCAACGCTTTAACCACTAGGCTACCTCACCGCCCCATTCTCACTATAAATGTCAAGTTAATGGTGAGTTAATATTTGATATTTGTGACCCAATATGTTAGACTTGTGACTCATTTGCACTGTAGCTTGGTCATTGTTTGTTCAATATATCATTGAATATTTTAGACTTTTCTGTATTCTATTTTGCTGGTTCAAAGGGCATTCTTTCATGGCAAATCATTAACCGGAACAAAAGGAAATTGCGCACTAAATTCTGTAAAAAGCCGAAAACTAGAAAACGTACATGTTTAATTTTAAATGTATTTTAGTTCAACTAGATGAATGAGTGAGTTCAGTTTTACGCCGCTTTTTAGCAATATTCCAGGAATATCATGGCGGGGGACAGCAGAAATCGGTTTAACAGATTGTACTCATGTGAGGAATCGAACCCAGCGTGATTAGCGAACGCTTTAACCACTAGGCTACCTCACCGCCCCTTAACTAGATGACACCAAAATATTCCATAGCACAGTTGACTGTTACATAATTGCTACGTACGGTCCGAAACGTGACGTTGAATATAAAATAAAAACATATAGATGTTTAGATATCAACGGTAAACGACGATGGCATAAATCTATATCTTATCCAAATATGCACATGATCAGCAATGAAACAAGACAATGGACTTTAGTCTCAGCTGTCACTCACATGTCTCTACCGACTGGAGACTGACCAGCTGTGGAACAAAATACTTACCCTCAACACACGGGAACAGCGCACAAATGAAATGCTTCTTCAAACTGAAATGTCGTCTTGCATCGCAGCATGCACATAGACTACAGATGCTGACATAATCACTGATAACTGTACCGTACTTCCTGTGTTGAAGTGAGAGTTAAATTTAAAGTCACATCGGCGGTATTTCAGCCATATCGTGACTATGAGCGATGTATTAAATAAACTTAAATATAAAGTAAATGTCTGTCAACGTACTTCCTGTGTTGAAGTAAGGGAGTTAAATTTTAAATCATCAGCAGTATTTCAGCCATGTCGTGACTATGAGCGTTGTCTTAAATACAGTGGGAGTATATTAGCGATCCAGTGTGTTTTAGAAACACAGATATCCAGGGTATCTTACAGACCCGGTGTGTTTAAGAAACACATGGGAGTATATATGTGTAAGAGATCCGATTTCCTTGTATCAGAGATCCCAGTATATTAGGTACCCAGGGTGTACATGTATAAAAGATCCGAAGTATTTAAGAGACCATAGAAACACAGGACGCCTATGTATAAGAGGTCCTGAGTATCGTACAGACCCAGTGTGTTTTAGAAACACAGTGGGCCAATGTATAAGATGTCCGGGTATATTACAGACCTGGGCGTTCGTGCATTAGAGACCCAAAGTATATTGGAGATCCATGGTTTAGATATATTAGAGGTGAGGTGAGGTGAAATTGGGTTTAACGTCGTGCTTGAGAATATTTCGCTCATATGACGACGTGTATGCGTGTGTATGTGTATGTGCGGCTGCTTGTACTAGCCCAGACTGAAGCTGGTTTTATAGTGCTAGCCCACTGAGATACCATGCCGCAGTGAAGCATGGATACTCTACTCAGACACATTATACTCCGAGCCGACCAGTCCTTGTTGTACCCATTAATGCCGAGCGCCAGGCAGGGACCAACAAGTACCATATTTTAACGTCTTTTGGTGTGACGCGGTCGGGGATCGAACCCGCGACATTCCGCTCTCCGGGCGGACGCTCTAACCACTACACCACGGAGGCTGTCTACATGTATTACAGATCCGAAGTACAATAGAGATCCAGGGTTTACATGTATTAGAGATCAGAAGTATAAAAGAGTGAGTGAGTGAGTTTAGTTTTACGCCGCACTCGGCAATATTCCAGCTATATGGCGGCGGTCTGTAAATAATCGAGTCTGGAGCAGACAATTCAGTGATCAACAGCATGAGCATCGATCTGCGCAATTGGGAACCGATGACATAAGTATCTAAGAGAAAATCACAAAGCGTCCAGCTATTACAGTATATTAAAGAGCCCCAACATACATGCAGAGATCTATAATATATTAGAATCTCAACAGCCTGAACACACTGTGATGGAAATACGGTACGCTGGAGAAAACGTACAAGCAACCTAGTGATAAATGATCGACATGCTGCTTCCACTCATATGATCATATCAGCATTCATCTTGGAGACAGACATTATCATAGCAGTGTCCCATTACCAATGTCAAAATGTACAGGTGATCTGAATAACATAGCGACTAATGGTAAGTTTATAGACATATAGCCATACTTCTCATGATTCTTACATGCATTTAATTCCGAACATACGTTAATGGTTCTGCGCGTATTATCTAAAGACAAACTCATGATCTGGCGGGATCTTCGTAATGATCCTCTCAATTGCCTACAGTGAGATGATGGTCGGGTCGTATAAAGTAAAAGTACCTTTGCTCCAATACCTACGGGGGGTTTACGGCTTCGGATGTCGTTACTGCATGTTTAAGTATTGGAGTTGCAATAGTCGTGGCGATTTGTTGAAGGTGGTATAGTTATTCCAATGTGAAATACAGGTCTTCTCACAAAAGGCCTGGGCCAATCATATCAGTTATCATGTCTCCTTCGAATGGATCGTCAGTTCTGAAAGGTGCACACTGAATAATCCATTAGTTCTGGTTCAGGATTTGCGCATCAATTATACAAATAATGTCCAACGCAATTTACTATTTTGACTTTACCACATGTTCCCGTGTTTTTTCCCGGCCTTGCCTTTTCACGTGTTTGTGACGTTTGACAGCGGCGCGGCACCATCCTCTCACCTGGTATAGTAATTCCTAATATAAACGCATAGAAATGATGTCATATCATTAGTCGGAATCGTGCAGCAGACTATATATAGCTGAGGTTTCTTATGGATGCGGAAAAGTTTTTATAGTCCTTAATTTTTTGAGTGAGTGAGTGAGTTTAGATTTTGTAGACTCCATTTGTAGACATAGTTTAGAATAACTTCCGTGGATGGTTGACACAAATGTGACCAAATATTCAATCTCAAGCTCTCTGCTGAACTTTTAATATTTGGGTGTAACTCAAATACTGTCACAGATACTGTTTTTTACCTTTTACTATGAATGGCTAAATTCTTTGTGTATGTCAGGGCGTAAAACCACACATTGATGGTTTTAAGAAAGTGTGTGAACAGAGGTATTCTATTGAGAAAAGTAGTTTCTCAAGCATAAATAAACTCAATAAATTTTACACAAAGTGGGCATTCTATTAACCACTCTTCAATTAGTACAGCCAAAGCATAAGTGAAGAGATGGCAGTTTATTTTAAGCTCACAACAGTATTAGTATGAATGTGAGAGTGAATGAGTTGATCTGACTACTTTGTCTTAAGTAAAAAGGAGCGAAAGGTCGGCTGTAGGGGAGGTTGGAGGCCGAAATATTATTTGTTTTCTTTTAATTTGATCACCGAAAAATCAAATTGGTCAGGGATAAGTCAGTCAAAAGTCAGGGAATTTGAACTTTCGTCATCTGTGGCAAACCTGTGATAGTTATATAATTTTTGGTTAAAGAAAGTGGGATGATTACGTGAAACTGATGACGATTAGGTGAGTGAGTGAGTTTAGTTTTACGCCGCTTTCGCAGTATTCCAGCAATATCATTGCAGGGGGACACCAGAAATGGGTTTCACACAATGAACCCATGTAGGGAATCGAACCCGGATCTTCAGCGTGAGGTGCGAACGCTTTAGCTGCTTGGCTACTCCACTGTCCGGTACAAAATAGAGTGGCTGTACAGATACAAAGGCAGTACGATGCAAAAGCAGCGATAATAACAATAAACACACACACGCACGCAGGCAGGCACGCACGAACACACATATATATAATATGTTGAATATTGAACACATTTTATGTATAAATCAAGACAATATCACGGTTCCATGTCACACACACACACACGTGTGTGTGTGTAAAATCTTAACTGTATCTTCAAGAATAAATAAAACATTTCCCCGATATTAATAGCCCGGTTTTACATTGTATTGTTGTCTATAGTGATATCTTTTTATGATAGCGTATTAGTTTTAAATTAAAAGCTGTGAAATTCTAGTAGTTTCACTGTCCTTCGATGACAGGTTTTTATTGTCTCAATTTGTTGGTTTTTATATTGATATGAATTACATTGTTCTCGTCACGATATGGCTGAGATATTGCCGATGTGGCGTTAAATTTTAACTCACTCACTCTTCTGATATTAAATGATTAATTGGTCCATATCTGGACTATCGAGCGTTCTTGTCGACATTGAACTGTTATATTGTCTTGATTTAAACATAAAATATGTTCAATATTCAACATATTATACTGTTTCCATAGATGTCGTTCTTCAACTGAAATTAGTAACGCAACCAGTGTCCGCCTGCACTGGGCTAGCTATTCCTATAATGTCACCTCAAATTTGACCTATGTCAACGAACAAACGAGACAGTTCTAGTACATATTGTCAATGCAACGCCGTAATGCATGCCTAGAAATTCTGATCCCGAGGTGTTTTAGCGCCAGTATATGTAATTATTCTGATAAGTAGGTAAGTAGGAATGATGATTTTTATGGAGAAACAATGGGAATTAAACCCCACCCCCCCACCCCTCCTAAATGTTATGTACAAAGTAAGTGAACAAAATTAATGACACTCGTAAAGAGCAGTATCCTCTCGGAGAGTGTTGAGTAACGCTATAAACTCTCCTTGAATGTTGAATGTGGACCCGGGTGGGCCCGGGATTGGTCATCAGCCCCCCACCCACGAACACCTGGTCGTAATAGTAACACATCTACCGTTTGGCACTCGTGAAGAGCAACCTCCTTGTGGTGAGTGCTGGGTAAAGCTAGTAGCATTTCCGCCGTGTGGACCCAGGTTAGAATAGGTTCACAGCACCCCATTGCTGGTCGGAACAGGCGACCGAATAGGTAACCTACTTGCCGTGGGTTGCGCTCCAGTATCGGTGGAGTACGGCATTTCTCGTGGCTGAGGGCTCTGGATACAGGAGTAGTGTTCTTTTTGCCCAATACATCATTTCCACCCTTCCTTCACCTAGACGAGTAGAGCCCAGTGCGTGGCACGTTTTCGCACACATTTTGATTTTCCTGAAAATTTTTTGCTTGGTCTCAACTATTAATGTCACAAATTACTGATTTGTAAAAAGGCATATCTCAAAAGGCGGTAGCTCTTGAGCCAATCTGATAGAATGTATCTTTTCAAGATTTTTTCTGCACGAATATACTCTATCAGTATACCCTCTTGATGAAACCCGTGAAGGTCCGGGTTAGAATGAACCTCAGTAACCCATGCTTGTCGTAAGAGGCGACTAACAGGATCGGGTGGTCAGGCTTGGTTGACACATGTCATCGGTTCCCAATTGCGCAGGTCGATGCTCATGCTGTTGAGCACTGGATTGTCTGGTCCAGACTCGCTTATTTACAGACCGCCGCCATATAGCTGGAATAATGCTGAGTGCGGCGTTAAACTAAACTCACTCACTCACTCTTGGTGAATACATGAGGCATCGTTTTCGTTTGGTGGTTCCGTGGTATGTTGGGTCCAAAAGAATTAACCATATTCGTTTCAACCATGGCGCCGCCACTAAAAATACGACGTTTATCCTGACAATTAGTCTCATTTTCTGCTGCATATCTGCTGTGGATAATGGGCCTCTGAAACTGAATCCATTTGCCAAACCAAAGGGAAGCAAAGGGAGTTGCAAAACTACGATCTGGTTCTCTACTGATCGAATGTAGAAGACAGATAAAATCCCAAATTCTGCTCTCTTCACTCATACAAACCCCGAAAATATTCCAAAGAACTCTGCTTCTACTTTATATTATCCAGGTGAGGCGTCAACACGAAATCTCACGTTTACAAACCATGTCTTGATCACAAATGGCATTCAGTCCCAGACATCTTGTGTCAAGGATTCGGGTACTTCTCGGAAGCAATCATAGAGAAATCAACAAAATAAATCAGACAAAAATGTTAAACAAACTGCAACCCTCAACTGAGCATTATTTCCTTCCACAATCTCCATGGTCCAATCTTTTTGATATGTTGCTTAACGCCGCACTCACCAATATTCCAGCTATAGGCGGCTTACCCAAGGTAAAGCTCAATCGTGAAGAAGTTATGTATGAAATATCAGCTTATGAGCGCCGTTATTCAAGTCATGGCCCATGATAGAGAAAACCAAAGCTAACGGCTCTACATTACGTATTCACGATCTTTTAAAAGCAGTTATTAACTGATGAATCCGATACTGCTTGGCGAATCTTTCTTTCTCATCTGATTAAAAACCTAAATTGCAAAAGTATCAAAAACAGTAGAAAAAGACAAACTTAATTTCAATTTTAGAAAATGGTTAAGATTATAACGAAATATTTCCTGTTTATGAGCTCCATACCGCTCTTGAACAAGCTCAGGTTACCGCTACAGCTGATAACACAGATTATCAACCGAAGCAATTAACAGAATTATGTTATGAGACCCTCAGTAAACTCTAAGTTTCGTGGGGGATAATTAAACTCTCCTCTAGCTGTACAGTCCCCTCATCCATTCTAACCTTGATTATGGCTCCATCGTTTATGGTGGAACTTGTAAAAGCAATTTGAATTATCAGAATCTGTTCATCACTAATGCCTAAGGCTTTGCCATGTAGCCTTCAGAATCACCAATTTCTAGTTTATATGTGGAGGTTGATGATCCGTCGCTAACACTACGCCGTCTTTACACGCCAGTATATGTAATTATTCTGATAAGTAGGTAAGTAGGAATGATGATTTTTTATGGAGAAACAATGGGAATTAAACCCCACCCCCACCCCTCTAAATGTTATGTACAAAGTAAGTGAACAAAATTAATGACACTCGTAAAGAGCAGTATCCTCTCGGAGAGTGTTGAGTAACGCTATAAACTCTCCTTGAATGTTGAATGTGGACCCGGGTGGGCCCGGGATTGGTCATCAGCCCCCCACCCACGAACACCTGGTCGTAATAGTAACACATCTACCGTTTGGCACTCGTGAAGAGCAACCTCCTTGTGGTGAGTGCTGGGTAAAGCTAGTAGCATTTCCGCCGTGTGGACCCAGGTTAGAATAGGTTCACAGCACCCCATTGCTGGTCGGAACAGGCGACCGAATAGGTAACCTGCTTGCCGTGGTTGCGCTCAGTATCGGTGGAGTACGGCATTTCTCGTGGCTGAGGGCTCTGGATACAGGAGTAGTGTTCTTTTGCCCAATACATCATTTCCACCCTTCCTTCACCTAGACGAGTAGAGCCCAGTGCATGGCACGTTTTCGCACACATTTTGATTTTCCTGAAATTGTTTGCTTGGTCTTAGCTATTAATGTCACAAGTTACGGATTTGTAAAAAGTCATATCTCAAAAGGCGGTAGCTCTTGACCCAATCTGGTAGAATGTATCTTTTCAAGATATTTTCTGCACGAATATACTCTATCAGTATACCCTCTTGATGAAACCCGTGAAGGTCCGGGTTAGAATGAACCTCAGTAACCCATGCTTGTCGTAAGATGCGACTAACAGGATCGGGTGTTCAGGCTTGGTTGACACATGTCATCGGTTCCCAATTGCGCAGGTCGATGCTCATCCTGTTGATCACTGGATTGTCTGGTCCAGACTCGCTTATTTACAGACCGCCGCCATATAGCTGGAATAATGCTGAGTGCGGCGTTAAACTAAACTCACTCACTCACTCTTGGTGAATACATGAGGCATCGTTTTCGTTTGGTGGTTCCGTGGTATGTTGGGTCCAAAAGAATTAACCATATTCGTTTCAACCATGGCGCCGCCACTAAAAATACGACGTTTATCCTGACAATTAGTCTCATTTTCTGCTGCATATCTGCTGTGGATAATGGGCCTCTGAAACTGAATCCATTTGCCAAACCAAAGGGCAGCAAAAGGAGTTGCAAAACTACGATCTGGTTCTCTACTGACCGAATGTAGAAGACAGATAAAATCCCAAATTCTGCTCTCTTCACTCATACAAACCCCGAAAAATGTTCCAAAGAACTCTGCTTCTACTTTATATTATCCAGGTGAGGCGTCAACAAGAGATCTCACGTTTACAAACCATGTCTTGATCACAAATGGCATTCAGTCCCAGACATCTTGTGACAAGGATTCGGGTACTTCTCGGAAGCAATCATAGAGAAATCAACAAAATACATCAGACAAAAATGTTAAACAAACTGCAACCCTCAACTGAGCATTATTTCCTTCGCCATCCTATGGTCCACAATCTTTTTGATGTGTTGCTGAACGCCGCACTCAGCAATATTCCAGCTATAGGCGGCTTACACAAGGTAAAGCTCAATCGTGAAGAAGTTATGTATGAAATATCAGCTTATGAGCGCCGTTATTAAAGTCATGGCCCATGATAGAGAAAACCAAAGCTAACGGCTCTACATTACGTATTCACGATCTTTTAATAGCAGTTATTAACTGATGAATCCTATACTGCTTGGCGAATCTTTCTTTCTCATCTGATTAAAAACCTAAATTGCAAAAGTATCAAAAACAGTAGAAAAAGACAAAACTTAATTTCAATTTTAGAAACTGGTTAAG